AAATATTTGGAAAAGTAAAGGTCTGGGATGAAATTGGAAGTCATTTTCGTGATCAGCGCACCAAAAACTGCAGGAAACTATGTAGAACTCGATTTAAAAATTTTGGTCCGAAATTGGTAAATTTTGGGAAAAGTAAAGATCTGGGATGAAATTGGAAGTCATTTTCGTGATCAGCACACCAAAAACTGCAGGAAACTATGTAAAACTCGACTTGAAAAATTTGGTCCGAAATTGGTAAATATTTGGAAAACTTTGGGTGAAAATAAAAGTCTTTTTTGTGATCAGCACACTAAATACTGCAGGAAACAAGGACTCACTGAGAAAATTCTGGTCCAAAATCAGGTAATTCTAGTTGGAAGTATGGGTCTGCAGTTGTTAACATGAACGCAATTTCCAAGTGTGTTTCCTGTTCATGGTGTCGTAACATGAACCCTGACACTGTTACTCAGTCGAGTAACATTCAACAGACAGCATTGAATTGCTTAGTACGATTCACAAATGCTTCAATTACCATTCGATATCTCCTTGTTATTGAACTTATGAATACGCAATGTTATTTGTTATACCTTTAAAGCCTTTTCTCTACCTTTCATTTTAAACTAGTGGATGAAACTATATTGATTTATCTCAATTAATTAAAATGAGACACATTTACAGGCAGGCTGATTGCAACTACTTTACGGAGAAGACCTTCTGTCAGATCCAAAGAATCGTTTCATAGAATCCAATGTCGAGCCCACTTATTGCTAAACGCAAGTTAATCTTATTCATAAGGATTAGTCATGATGTGATATTTAATTTTTGAAACAGTAAAGCATAAGTATTTACCTAACATTCTGAGTAAATTAAAAACTCAAACCATGACCGACACAAATTTCCAGTTGTCGCAGACAATAATGAAGTTAAAAGAATCGTCTCATGAAATCATATGACCAAGTCACTGAATCGTCTCATTGAATCAGATGTCAATGTCAAACCTTGTATGCGCTTCACTCACTCACCATATAGTTATCTTTAAGGTTAGTACTTTAGTAAACATACAGCATTGCAATGAAGCCTTTTCCCAGAGTCAGTGCCAAGAGTCAGCAAAGACTTTTTATTTTGGCAAGATTAGTGTCTGGTTTGTACTTTTGGATTGTATTAATCTATTTTCTAACTGTTACATTAAAACTTCTTTACATTGCAAAAGGTGGTAATGATGCTCACAGGAAATCACAATTTACTACATGCAACTAGTGACTGCCATTCCTGTTGCATACTGGTCTGTTATACAATGACACTCTAGCTTCAACCTTTGTGATCATATCACAAGGATATCTGCTCTTAAAATGGAAATACACTCTCAAGGCTTACAAACACCAAATCATTCTTGCAATTATCAAACACACACACACCCACTGACTAAAACATTTCCCCTGTAGCGGGGGAGGGGAGGGGGCGGACGGACAGACGAAACGCGTAATAATTGTCACTTTCATTTTCCGTATTTCACTGCGTTGACACTCCGGAGAGGTTTCAATCATTCTAGAATGTTGAAAAAATAAGGTCGATCTCATTTCCAAACCGTTCTGCTATTTATTTTGTTTTATTTGTTGATTTGCTTGTGTCCCGTATTGGAGAGCCGCGGCCGCAGGTATGAGAAATTGGTAACTGCTGCCAACCTAACCATGCTAATAAACTGATTCAAAAAGATGTTTTGAATATTTCAAACGATATTAAACAACGATTAGAATCTAACTCGTGCTGGGGGGAACTAAGGCGACGTTAAATACGAAATGTAGGAACTATAGCCACTGTAGTTGCTGAGAATCGTTGGTGAGTACAAACAGACTCACAGACAGACAGACGCACGACCAGTCACTTTTTGGAGAGCCCAAACACGGCAAGGGCTCGCTATCGCTCGCCAAATATAATGAAATGTCAGAACACATTCTATGAAACGTCATAATATCTCCTTGAAAAATCAAGTCTGCAATGAAACGTCAAGAGATTTGATGAAAAGTCAAAACGTGAAACTGCTAAGTTAGTGTGGTTCTGAAAATTTATAACCAAGATATAAACTTTCATGTCGGTCTTTGACTTGTGATGGGCAGGTTTTGATGGCTCTTACATGGCCCGGGTGGAAGGAACTTCAGGTTTGACTCAGTTTGAACCCAATCGTGATTCGGAATATTCCTATGCTTTTCCCTGAGTAGTGTAGCGTGATTATATGAGTTGTAAATCAAACGTCGCACCAAAAAAGAATTTTAGTATCATTAAACGCAAACTGTGGTCAATCCACTGCTCACATGGTGCGGCCTGTCAGCCACCTGGGCTCAAAGTCAGGTTTCAAGAAGCTGCCGCTAGGTGGCGCTCGGAGTGCCGTGTTCGTTCACTTATAAGTTTTGCCTATTCATTTAAGTAAAATTCATATTTTTTTCAAAAGTTTTTCTTTGGTTACCTAAGTGAATATCTACTCTAGACGTATGCTAAAAGTGTTAAACAAAATATTACTCTGAAGTCGAGAAAAACGCAGAACCATGCTGCGACTCGCTGGCGCCTACAGTCGGCCATTAGGTTAGGTCCAGCGAGAGCCTCCTCGTGGTTGTGGTACAACGTGTCACCAACTCATCTCACTGAGTATCACTCCAGGTCAAGATCGGTGTTTAGGGTGGACTTCGCCCGCTTGCAATTTTTAGAACCGGTGTGGAACTTAGAGTCAAGATACCGGTCGAGATTTCATTACCCAATAATGAAATACAATACCTCAATCGGAATTGAAATGTCAAAACTTGCATATGAATTTTCATTAACAATTTTATGAAGTTTCACAACACATTGCCATGAAATTTCAGAACAGAAAAGTGATAATAATTACATTAACATGTTATGAAATTTCAATCCGAATTTTTTAACAGTGTTGTGTACACCAAAATTAGCGTCAATGTCTTTGAGGTTGCTCAGAGTTCCAAGTCATTTCTTTTGATGAATGTTAGAGTTGTTGCTTGTTTTCTCGGGCCGTTCCCTTATCGAAACTGACACAGTTGACTCAAAACGCATCCTAAGAGAAGGATCAGTTTGTGCTGCGCGAGGAATATTGTAATGTAAGCTCTGAGGGTACGTAACTGAAGAGAAGGCGAAGATGTTAACTGATTAAATGATGCTAAGACAGGATCCGATAGTCTAGGGAGTGCTGAGAAATTCTCTACAAATCGAAAAGCGTACATTGAATGCTGTCGCTGCAGCATGCCTGCAAGCGCGCTCTAGCTAGCGCATGCCTGTCAAGAATGCACCAACAAGTGCATACCTGCCATACGCTTCTTGGAGCTGACAACACTGTTCCTGAGTTTGCGATACTGATATCATTTTTTTTGCAATAATATTTTTATCGCAAAAAATTGTGATAAACACTACATATTTTATGCGATAAAAATCTATTAGCAATAATGACAACATATTTCTTGCGATAAAATGTTTATCGCAAAAAAATTGTAGTTAGCACTACACATTTTGCGATAAAAATTGATTTGCAATAATGACAACATTTTTCTTGCGATAAGATGATTATCGCAAAATATAGTAGTGGTAGTAGTAGGTACTATAATGTAAATGAAAAAAGTCAAGTTATCGTACTTCAGTGTGATCCATACTACATAGACAGTCCACAACAGACCTCCTTAGAGAACTTTGTAGCAGTCATCATATCACATACTGATAAATAGAAGTAAACCAAATCAAATATTGAAGTACAGATTGATTGAAAGTGGACTAATGTGATGTCAGAATTCCGAAGAATAGATTCAACCCGAATAGCAAAGGAACATTCTAGTTGAGTTGGCCCAAAATTTGTGTCATGTACCTTTATGGTTTTGACATAACTTTCACCAGACTTTCCCAGACTAATACAATCTGTGGCAAAGTTAACCTTTAGAATGCTAGATTACCATGGCCAAGTATTGACAGCGGCAATCACACTCCCATCCTGTTTGGGTTTAAATGTTTTTCATTGAGCATGCAGAGAAAACAAAAGCTTCACGAGGAAAATTTTGAGGTGTACACCTGGCATACCATCGCAGGTTGCAGGTTTACTCCTCCCACATTTACTTACTGTTAAGTCCTGTCTCTTGGGTGTTTCATGAGTTGTTTCTATTGTTCCTGCTACACCACTAGGTAGGGCTGGCTTTCAGTCCCATGGAACTGTTGCATCAGTCACTACAGTGCAAAGGGCTTTGATTAGACTTCGCTAACAAGTGTATGAGTATAAGGTGACAGTCCACTGTAAGGATTTTTCGAAATCCACACTGAGCACAATTCCAAAATAGGTGACATGGTTGAAATCTCGCTGTAAAGAATGAAAATAATTCAAGCAGAACAACTTGCAAACTCGCCATCTTGACCTATTTGCACTAAAGAGCTCGACTGAAAATAAAGGCACTTGTTGCTTTTGGCAGACCCGATCAGCTGCTGACTCGCGGTGGCGTCCGAAAGTACGCACTCCGAAACCGGCGGTGGAGTTGGAGCAGTGCGGTTCGTCGCAGGATGGCTTAGGCACTATGTGATGACGGTGTGCTGAAAGAAGAGACCTCTGGCTTTCGGTAGATGCTATCACCGGTACCACGGGGTCACAAGGCTCTCAGCGTCCAGGCGAACTAGTGTGAATTGAGTCAGGGGACGTTTGCGATGCAGCCCCGTCTATGTTGTTGTTTTTGTTTTCGTCTCCGCGTTCCTTCCGCCTCCGAACGAAGTGTGCAAGAACGTGAGTGATATTTTTTCTCAATACAACGCTATTATGGTACTGTGCCATCCACTCCTTGGTTCATTCTTCGCCTTAGCATATGTGTTGCGTCTCGTTTGGCCTCGACACGTTTTCTTTCGCATTGTTACGCTAATTTCGTTTTGTATTTTGGACAACCTAACCACAATCCCGAAACGTACAGAGCTTTTTAGTGTGTGTTCTCCTTCTGTTACTGCTCTTGCCTAATGTGATACATTGTCTTGTTGCGCAGGAATTAGAGGAAGATTCCATGATCACGGTGGTGGTGACATCTCAGCGGAGGTATGCAGTGGACAGACAACTTCGCAGCTATCACTTATTTCAAATCAGCTGCAACAAGATGGTAGCAGGATACAAAGTGAGTAGCCAGGCCCCTGGACAGTCCAAAAATAATTGTTAACATGGTTCTGAGGATTCTGTGTAAAGGACAGTTGGAGAGGATATCTTTTAATATTCCTCTATTGAGTGTTATTGCAAGCAATATCTTGCAATAACATGGTTGTACTATCCAAATCTTCATAATCACGCAGGCGGCTTCCTAATTTATGCATGTATCTGGGGTTTTGCTAGTCTCACAGTAGGCTGCAGGAATTTTAACATTACAAACAATAATTTGTCTAGCCCTTCATATCTTTGTTCATTTAGCATCTTTCATTTTTAGAGGAAGTGACTCATTGGGATCTAAAGCTCTGGCCTTTTAATGTAAACAGTTAGTGTTCGGATTTTTTTCCAGAAATTAGCCGTTCATTCAAGGAGTAAAAGCCCCAAGATTGTGGAGAACTGTTGCGGCTTTGGAACGAGTGTCAAAATGGATGGAGTCCTTTGTTGGATCTTCAAGCCTTCAGAAATAGACAGGTGAATTAGAGTTGCATGTTGTTATGTAATCAGACTTTGCTCTGTTCTTATTTCTTTTGTTCAATTTCTCTTTATGTTTCCACTGGGCTCTGAAATTTGCTGCTGGCAATGTTGCCAAAAATCAATGCTCAAAAAAGTTTCTTTCTTAACTTGGACAAATTGTTTAGTCTGCCATTTTGTTGTTTATTTTAAATGCACTTTTTTATCAGAGGGAGTTAAATCATCAGAGGTCTGAGGTTGTGGATTTGTAATGTTGAACAGCTTGTTTTGTTTTTTGGTGCAGGATTCAGCCGTTCTTCCGAAGAGTGAAGCCCCAAGATTGTGGAGAACTGTTGCGGCTTTGGAACGAGTGTCAAAATGGATGGAGTCCTTTGTTGGATCTTCAAGCCTTCAGAAATAGACAGGTGAATTAGAGTTGCATGTTGTTATGTAATCAGACTTTGCTCTGTTCTTATTTCTTTTGTTCAATTTCTCTTTATGTTTCCACTGGGCTCTGAAATTTGCTGCTGGCAATGTTGCCAAAAATCAATGCTCAAAAAAGTTTCTTTCTTAACTTGGACAGATTGTTTAGTCTGCCATTTTGTTGTTTATTTTAAATGCACTTTTTTATCAGAGGGACTTAAATCATCAGAGGTCTGAGGTTGTGGATTTGTAATGTTGAACGGCTTGTTTTGTTTTTTGGTGCAGGATTCAGCCGTTCTTCCAAAGAGTGAAGCCCCAAGATTGTGGAGAACTGTTGCGGCTTTGGAACGAGTGTCAAAATGGATGGAGTCCTTTGTTGGATCTTCAAGCCTTCAGAAATAGACAGGTGAATTAGAGTTGCATGTTGTTATGTAATCAGACCTTGCTCTGTTCTTATTTCTTTTGTTCAATTTCTCTTTATGTTTCCACTGGGCTCTGAAATTTGCTGCTGGCAATGTTGCCAAAAATCAATGCTCAAAAAAGTTTCTTTCTTAACTTGGACAGATTGTTTAGTCTGCCATTTTGTTGTTTATTTTAAATGCACTTTTTTATCAGAGGGACTTAAATCATCAGAGGTCTGAGGTTGTGGATTTGTAATGTTGAACGGCTTGTTTTGTTTTTTGGTGCAGGATTCAGCCGTTCTTCCAAAGAGTGAAGCCCCAAGATTGTGGAGAACTGTTGCGGCTTTGGAACGAGTGTCAAAATGGATGGAGTCCTTTGTTGGATCTTCAAGCCTTCAGAAATAGACAGGTGAATTAGAGTTGCATGTTGTTATGTAATCAGACCTTGCTCTGTTCTTATTTCTTTTGTTCAATTTCTCTTTATGTTTCCACTGGGCTCTGAAATTTACTGCTGGCAATGTTGCCAAAAATCAATGCTCAAAAAAGTTTCTTTCTTAACTTGGACAGATTGTTTAGTCTGCCATTTTGTTGTTTATTTTAAATGCACTTTTTTATCAGAGGGAGTTAAATCATCAGAGGTCTGAGGTTGTGGATTTGTAATGTTGAACAGCTTGTTTTGTTTTTTGGTGCAGGATTCAGCCGTTCTTCCAAAGAGTGAAGCCCCAAGATTGTGGAGAACTGTTGCGGCTTTGGAACGAGTGTCAAAATGGATGGAGTCCTTTGTTGGATCTTCAAGCCTTCAGAAATAGACAGGTGAATTAGAGTTGCATGTTGTTATGTAATCAGACTTTGCTCTGTTCTTATTTCTTTCGTTCAATTTCTCTTTATATTTTCCCTGGGCTCTGAAGGGTATGAATTTACTGCCACTGAAGTAAGGAGTCACTGCTGGCATTGTTGCTCAAATGCAATACTTTGTAAAGTTAGTTTCATGACTTGTATTGACTGTTTAGTATGACTTTTTGTTGCTTTAATGCACTATTTTATCAGAGGGCGTTAATCGTCAGAGGTGGACATTGCTGATTTGCATTGTTGATAGTCCTGTTTTGGTTGTTTGTTTTAGGATTCTGCTGTTCTTTCAAGGAGCGAAACCTGAAGAGTCTTTAGTCCAAAGATCGATTAAGTCTCTTGGTGGTTCAAGGAGCGGATTGCCCTGATCTTCTGTTATCAATTTATGCATCTCATTCATGTCAAGTTGTATGTGTTAGCATGCAATATGGTATTTTTTGGGGTTATTTTTCAAGTTTTTCATCTCATATTTGTTTTCATGTACTTGTTCTTTGGGAGGAAATTAAAGTCTTTAGAGTATTTGGTAAACAATCTTTTATTGTTTTAGAAAGAAACAGAACCAATTAACATTCTTGAATCTACAGATTTTCAGAGTGTATTGTGATAATACATGTAAATATCTGAATGTATTTATTTTGATTGATCTATAGGAATCAGATTGATTTACAAAGTCTTCTAGTTTAAGGAACTATAAGTTCTATGACATTAACAAAGATAATTAAAGTCTACTTTTAATTTTTATTGATCTAATGACCAATAATAATTTCTTTGGAAGTCCTCTATATGAGAACCAAATTGTTCCTGTACTAATCAAAAGCTGATTTCTAACCCTCCAAAAATTTCACAAAAACTGAATAAGTAGCATGAACTTTCTGAGATGCCTTGTTACCACTTAAACCGCCATGCACATACCTTTCTAAGAATCGCATCATACTTTTGTATGCGTCGGGGTACTCTATGTCCCCAATGAAGTATGTTGCAAGCAGTAAAAGTGCTACCTCAAATGCTCTTGGAGTGTCGATTGTTCCCAACGCTATGCCATACATTTTTACATAGCATCGGCTTAGTGTGTCAACTCCAAGCTCCCCAATTGAAGTTGTCACCAGAAGGCAAGGAGCATGAGCATTGTGACTTGTTCGAATGTGCATCGAACCCTCTGCCTCAGAAATCTGAGGAATGATCGAAGTCATGAAAAAGCATTGTTCCAGCATTATTGATGTTTTTATAGGTATTAAATTTACTTACATCTTTCAAATTAATCAATGGTGTGATCTTCTTATCTGGACTCAGAAGTACAGCAGGTGTCACCCTCCTAAAGATATTGCACAAAATCTTAACTTGGTCTAGTTCACTTTCAGCACTCCATTCACATTTCTTGCTGACTTTCTGTATCATTTTATCAAAATTATCCTTGAGCGTTTCCTGGTTTAGCCTTGTTTTAAGTAGGTACTCATAAATAACCTGGAACATAGTTGCTTCTATTGGTAAAAATTCACAGACCTGAAAGTTTGTTATTAATTCTTTTAATTTTCAATTAGGTTCAGATTTCTTGTTTGGAAGGTGAAGTTGCCAATGTAAATTGTTTAACTTCTCTCTTTTACAGGATACAACTTTTACCACACAGAAATTTTTCTCAAACTTAAAAAAATACAATTGTATTTAAAATACAAGATGTGGATGCAGTGGCTTTAAGAGCATGTTTTAAATAAGATTCTTACCAATCTTCCATCTTGATAATGTGGATAGCTTGTCCAAATATTCTCAGTGCGACTAATGCGCATCTCCAGGTCCATTATTTTACCAGCCTCTTCAAATTCTACCTCTCTTGCCTCATATGTTTTTGCGATTAGAGGCTTCATTTTCTGTTTGTCTGTAGTAGACTTCAGTTCACCAATCCAGTCCACTTCTGAGGACTCCTCACTGCTGAAAATTATGTTAGTTTAATTTACCTTGCAGTTGTTAAAGATTAACATGAACATGGAAGGATTGAAATTTCATACCATAGGACTTTTACCCCTGCTATGGGTCTTGTTGCTTTTGCAGCTTCTCTGCGAGGTTTCGCATTTTTGTCATAATTATTTTTCTGTCTAATAGATGCATCTATGCTGCCCTTTATTCGCTGCTGTAAGATACAAGAAATAACCAAGATTTTGTCATGCTGCCTACAGATTCCGAGGTAAGGTGCTAACAATGTAAAATCAACTTTCTTTCGGAAGAAGGTTTAAAGCTCAAATGTACTCACATAGCCCTTGGGGTCATCAGGATCACTGAGGATTGGGTACTTATCTATAAGCGCCTGACTCATATTTTTCAACTCGTGCGGGAAAATGTACAAGCGACCAGGTCTTTTGGACTTAATGTGGTGTCTTATGTCAGCTAATATAGCATGCATGTTGGGCTGTCCTGAAGCTATTGAGTGAAGAGAGACTTCTCCAAATTTTGGCATCAATCTTGAACCAGTCAATGCTTGCCCATACAGTAGTCTAGGCTGCAACAAAAATTTACTTCCCTTTAAGTTTTGTTTATTTATATTGTAATTCAGCAATGTTTAAAAGTTTCTTCTTAGTTAAAATTACCTTTTCATTTTTCCTCCTCTTCTGTTTATTTCCCTTGCCTGACCCTTTCCTCTTGCCGCTCTCAGAGGCTTCATCCTCCAAGCTGAAACTCACCTCTGAATTATTTCCATCACCAGAGCAGACCTTTTTTTTGGATGTTTTGCTTCTCCCTTAAAATGAGAAAAAGCAATCCATTTTCAGATTTGTTGTTTGATATGGAAATTAAGTGTGTTAGGAACATACATGCTGTAAAAGAATTTAATTAATAAGACATTACTTTTCCCTTGTCTGACCCTTTACTCTTGCCCTCCTCAAAAGCATCCTCCTCCGAGGTGACACTATCCTCTAAATTATTCTCATCATCAGAGCCGACCACTTTTGTTGGATGGTTTGCTTTTCCCTGAAAATGAAAAAAAGGAATGCATTTTCAGATATATTGTTTGATACATAAATTTAGTGCATTAGGAACATAGATGTTGTAAATGAATTGACTAATTAAGACATTACTTTTTTCGGTTTTGCAGGTGTCTTCTTCTTTGCCGGCTCACCAAGTTGTCCGTAAGTCGCATCTGGGACAAATGGTGCCTTTGTTAGATCTGAAATAGAGGCCATATCAGTCAATCTGACATGAAAAAGAGAGTAACCTCTTTGTTGACAAGAAAGATTCTGCTCACCATTCTTGACACGCTCATTGTGGAGTTCCAGCCGTTGCTTCTCTCTGACCTTTAAATACTTTGGTAAAGTTTTCCACTCATCTTCTGTGAAGTATTCTTTCACTTCACCATACCAATCATCGTCATTACTGTCGGTGCTTTCACCAGAATCAATACGTTGCCAACTACCACTGCTGCATGGCTGTTGCCCTGAAGTGTTGCTGTGCACAACGTCATCAAAATTGCTGGAGCCTGGCTGGCCTCCAGCAGCACCAAATCCTGTGCAAAAATAATTGTAGTACATCATGGAATGAAGTTCAAATTATAATAGAGACTATTTGAAAAGACATTACCATGTCGCTCAGCAACTTGGTTCAATATGCTATTCTCTTTATCCATCTGTAAGAAGCATTCAGTTTATTTGTGTGTATCATTTAAGTAATCTAAGACATTATTGACAACTCTGTCATTTACCAAATAGAATCATTTACCTCATACTCAATGTTATCTTGAATTGGAGTGTTTCTCATTGACTTTCCTAGAAGAATTGGTAATATTTTTACTGTCGTTGTTTTAATTTCTGTGAAAAACAAAATAATTTAATGTCCATTGAAAGTGAGTAGGGTTGAAACTGTTGACTCTAATAGCTTACCTGCTGTCCTCCTTGAGTGACTTGCACCTGGATCTTTCATTATTAAATTTCTAGGGATTTCTTGTAAGATATTTCCTAAACAGAAAATCGTCATAAAATGTACATAATTTGTGTTCCTTGTATTTGATTGAAATAAGTGGGATTAAAATAATGTGCTTTGCAGTAAAAGTGACTTTGCTCACCAGCTACTCTCCCAGTACTGCTTCGAGTGGTCCTGGCATCTGATTGAGTGACTACCTTATCTCGTTCCTCGCCCTGCAACTACGCAATGAATATCCTAAGTAGCTTTCTCATTAAGTCCTACAATACTGCTTGAAATATTTGGACCTATTTTCTATGGCTCTTCTTCACTGTTAAAAAAAATTACTGAAAATTCATAATTTTTTGTAAGAAGTCGATTTACTTACATTCATCTGAATTTTCATACCAAACTTCATACTTGCGGTCTGAAATTAGACGACTTAAGTCTAAATTTCGATCAACACTAGTATGAAAATGATACCAGTCGGTCTATTATCAGACTAAGTTGTACGAAACTTGACATCGCACTAAAAAATGCCACTCTGTAGAGTAGAACACAAATCGGCGAACTTTTGCCATCAGCTTATCGTAGACGCTCAGCGGATCGTCTCGGCTCAAAAATTAGGTACCGGCAGTAGCTCCTACTTGAAGGTAGTGGAGAGGCTAGAGTTCTGCTGAATTCCGAGCGAGAGCGGCCTTAGCCCACCACGCGCCGACCCGTGGCCATGCGCGAGAGAATTGTATTCTTTGTTATTTAGCTTATACTGCCTTATTACATGAATCTCTTTGGTGCGCTCATGCCTTTCAGATAAACCTTGATAAGTTTGGTAACAAATATTCGCAATTTCGCCTTCAAGTGGCAATTTTGTCGCAAAGATCATCCATACGACACTAGCGCCACCTAGGATAGAGCATAAGTCCCATCTCCGGAGCTCTGAAACATTCTCTATGCTTTTCGACACTAACGTAAATATTATTGAAATACAACAGTAGTATTGATAAAGTTCTGAGAAATCGAAAAATGTACAAAGGGACGGGTTTTTTCACTCGTTTCCGATTCACAAGTATGAATTTAGTTTTCGGACGACAATGTACAAAACTTGATAGCCATCGCTCTAAATATTCAGACTTGCTAGTCTGAATTCAAATTTCAGACAACAGGTCAAACTTTACAGACAGTTGGTCTTAATATTCGTACCATTTTATGAATTTACGATTCAGACCAACAAGTAAGACGAAATCAGTCTGAATTTTCATATTTTTTTTAACAGTGTTGGCTGCAAAAGTTACTTAGGACAAAAAGTTTTTGCACAAAGTAATAGCATCTCTCTCCAGATTCACAGCACTTTGAATTAAGAGAAACAAAATTTAAATTGTGGTGCCCCTCGATGAATATTGTACCGAGTGGAACTGTGAGGTCTCAACTTACAAGCCTAATAACGAAGATGAATTGAATGGGCCTGGGGCCAAGTTCTTAATCAAACAAGGCTGTTGCTTATGATGGGGTCAACTTACATTTATTGGTAGATCAATTCTGTTGAATTGTACCCGAATACTCTGTAGGTGAACGATGTTGTCGGTTTCTTCAATTTCCATCTCTTTTTTGAACTCTTCATTGTAAGAGTAAAAACTTGGTTCATGAGTAAGCAGCCTTTTCTTCAAAATGGTATCTTTTTGAAACATCTCGTGACAACTCTTCTTTAGGCATTCTAAAGTCCCATGCTGCAGAGCAAGTACTTTCGACCTGCCCTCTGTTTCAATTGATACCTTCATTGTAGAGGAGAGGCGAAATATTAAGCAAACGGCACTGACTGTTTAGATAAATGATTTGTCGTTACATAACTTTCAAACGAACCAGCGCCAAGACAAAAGCACTGTGACAGGGTTACCAACGTCAAGTTCGAAACGCATTAATGACTACTGAAAATAATCAGAAACATTTGAACTGAAAATATCATACTTATGTATCAATATTATCATAATGTAAAATTCATTAGAGTTTACATGAGAAAAGGATGAAATATGACCAGGGAACATAAGGAATGTTCATAGAATGTTGCAAACCTCAGCGACCAGCAAGGACCACCGGAGCCGGCCGGTGACCGACAGACGACAAACGCGTCTTCGATAAAAATCGAGAGGGCCGGAAGCAGAAATTTTGAGTGTACCCGAAGTTTTGGAAGTCCTTGATGACGTTAGTGGAATGTCTGTTTTTGAAGGAGTTGACAGTGAGGACGAGATTTTGGATTATCTGAAACAACATGGGGGCTATGTTGAACCTGTTATGGTTCCATTCTTAGCGCAGCCTGAGCTGCTCAATCAGCAAATTGTGAAGAAAGATATTGAATTCTTTTATAAAGTTCCATTCCTACCTCAACTTCAAGAGCTCTTGCGTTGCAGTGATGTACTCCATTGCGTTGACAACTCTAAAGAACCTGAAGAATGGACATACGAATCAATTTTGGATGGTCTGATCTACAAATGTCATCCTGTTGTGCTCAAGTTTGGTAACACTACCCTCTCAATCTATATATATCATGATGGCGTTGAGCCTTCTGATCTAGGCTCTGCACGGGTAGGCAAGCACAATTTGACTTTTTTCTATTGGAGTCTTGGAAATATTTATCCGGAGTTGAGATCTTCTGATAAGGTTGTTCAGCTATATGTTATATGCAAGACACCTGATCTCAAGAAGTATGGCTACAAAAAAATCATGGAAGACTTTATTGAAGGTATAAATAAGTTGTCATCTGATGAAGGAGTGACTTTCAATATAGATGGACAGAATAGGATCTTTCATGGCTTTTTGCATTGTTGCCTAGGAGATTACCCAGCGCAAGGTGCTATTGGTGGATTTAAGGAATCAGTTTCAGCTGAAAAACCATGTCGTGAATGCATGGCATCGAATGAAGAAGGCTACATCAAAGCTACTAGTATTAGTAACATTCAGCTCAGGAACAAAAATTTGCATGAATCTCATCTCCAGGAACTTGACAAGTACAATGCTCTGTCTAGCAAAGAAAAACTGAAAAGAAGAGATCCATCAGTGGAGTATGGTGTTAATAACAGAAGTGTCCTCCTAGACATTAAATACTTTGATGTTACAAAACAGCTGCCACAGGATCTCATGCATGACGTCAATGAAGGCATTTTGGAGTATACTTGCAGATTAGTTCTCAGACATGTTATTCTTGACAAGAAAGCCCTGCCAATTTCGTTGGTCAATGAACGCATAGCCTCTCTGTCCAAGGCCTTTGAATCTGATAGACCAGGTGTAATTCTCGAGGATCACCTAGGCCCCACGAAGCATTTGCGTCAAAGTTCTGCTCAAATGCGAACTCTTTCTTTACTGCTGCCTTTTGTTCTACAAAAGGAGACAGCTGATGGCAGCATGGTGTTCAGTGGAGATCAAGAATATTTGGATTGCCTCATTTGTGTGTTACAATTTCTTCAGGTGTCTTCAGCCTTCAAGTTTCATATAACGGATGTTGAAGTTTTGAGAAAAAAGATTGAAGAGCTCCACGCCATGATCCTTGCCCTTGATGATGAAATCAATATGGGCAAATTACATTTTTGCACCACCTATGCGATGGGATTGCTTTGTTTGGAGTGCTTCGCCAAGTTGCATGTTTTCGATGTGAAGGTCATCATGCCTTTTTCAAGAGACTTATAAAAATCTTGCACAATTTTTTGAACCCTTTAAAGACTCTGGCGGTTCGTCATCAAATCTCCAAATGCCGCCAAATGATGAAGAAGAATTATCTCTATGATGGTCATGAGTGCACTCCTAAACAGGACGTGTCCAAAGCAGTCAACAGAAATGTGAATTTAATCAAGGACTCTTTTCCTGACTGGCAAACTATTGTATTGGTATCAAAGGTGAAGATTTTTGGGACAACTTTCAAAGAGGGTAGCCCAATCCTCCTTGCAGACAGTCCGCCAGAGTTTGCTATCGTTAAAAGTATGTATCAGATAAATGGAGAAAAATTTTCATTCATATGCCAGAAAACAAAGACAAAGTGCTACGCCATGAACCTGAATGCGTATGAAATTTTTCCTGTTGGCACCATAGTAGCAATTGATGTGCTCCAGCTTAACTTTCTCCATCCAAATATTTCTTTGACCTGGCAAGGGAAGAAATATGTCCTGCCTTTGGGACATCGCTCCTTGCTGGTTGGAGACACTTAGGTAAGGATTATCTAAAGTAGTAGTCTTTTCCCCCTCTTTTCTCCCTATGCAGCTAAACATGTCTCAAAGGTGTCTGACAGACTCTCTTTTCTAGGCCATCTACTAAAGCACTTCTGAAAGCGCTAAAGTAAAGTGAATAATGCTGATAAAATACAAGGAATTGCTTCTACTTGCTGCCCCTATAGTCCTCCTTCTGTTGTAAGTAAAACCAGTAAAATTGTTAGGCAAATGATGTCAGGTTTCATACTTTTGAACTTAAGATCACTTGTATTTTTATTTTGCAGGTGGATGATCAGATAATGGAAAAGATTGTTTTTACAAGTTTGATTCAACACCGTTACACTGACAAAACGCAGCAGTAAAGAAAGCGTTCGCATTTGAACAGAGCTTTAGAATAATGACTGTCATCACCAGACGCTGCCAGAGAGCTGACCAAAAGTTTGCCCAATTACTTGGTTCTCATCTTTCCTCTGAACTCTTTCTTTGTTTTGTAAGTAAATCCAGTAAAACTGTTGGGCAAATAATGTCTAGTTAAAGGCCTTAAAAATTGAGAGCTTTTAAATTTTTGTTTTGCAGGTGTATTTTGTCTGAGATAATGGAATGGGTATTTTTTTAAAGTTTGATTAATCTTCTATTTTAAATATTTGTACAATGTTTAACTTCTCTTGGCAAACTTTAACTTGGTGCCACAGCATCTGAAAACATGGTATGTTTTTCCATGCGCCATTCAATAAGCACAGAGAGTGCAATGTAATGATCTCAGTTTTGATTTAAAATTACAGCTTGGCTTGGTGTTAAGGGTGAACCTAATGACTGACTGAGCTCACCAAGCAGTTTCAATGTGCTGGCTGAAGGCTGACCACAAGTTTGCCAAATTGTATGATTTCCACCTTTCCTCTGAATTCTCTCCTCTTTTTGTAAGTCAATCGAGTACAACTGTTCAGCAGTTGATGTCTGGTGAAATGCATTTGAAATATTGATCAGTTGTATTTTCTTTTTATAGGAGGATCTTCAGGTGATCATAAGGATAGATTTTCATTCATTTTCTATTTATAAGATTTGTCCAATGTTTTACTTTCCTTGGCAATCTTACTTGTCTTGCTGCGTATGGCTGACCTGAAGACAGACTACGATGACCAGCCAATTGTTCAGCGCTGTCTGAGGTCTTATGGACTTTATAAGTTTTATTCAGTTTCTATAGGAAAGAATAGTCCAATGTTTTACTTCCCTTGGCCATCTTACTTAGTGCCACAGCCTCTTTAAATGTGGTATGTTTTTATCGTCCCTTATGAACAAAGTATAATAACACCAGTTTTAGCTAACTTGTTTTTTTTTGCTTTTATGAATTACAGCTTGGCTTTCTGCATAGGGCAAACCTGAAAGCAGACTACGATGATCAGCCAATTGTTAAGCGCTGTCTGAGGTATTACCAGAAGTTTGCGGGATAAAATTAACTCGTACAACCTTCATAGGAAACTTGAGACTAAACTTTAACAGAACTAATTGTAACGCAAATGAGGCAGTCCCAAAATTTTGGTGTTCCTCAAAATACCATGCTGCTATCAGAAGTCTTTTGTTGGACAAAAGGCAGCAGGAAAGAAAGTGTTTGCATTTGAGCAGTACTTTCGAGTAATGGCTGTGATGACCGGCCACTGGCAGAGAGCTGACCAAGAGTTTGCGGCATAACTTGATTCCCACCTTTTCTCTCAACTCTTTCTTTGTTTTGTAAGTTAACCCAGTAAAACTCTTAGGCAAATAATGATTAGTTAATGGCCTTGAAAATTTAGATCTTGATTATTTTTATCTTGCAGGTGTATTTTGTTGAGATAATGAAATGGGTACCCTTTTTTTTTTTGAAGTTTGATTCATCTTCTATTTTAAATATTTATAGAATGTGTTACTTTTCTTGGGAATCATACTCAGTTCCACAGCATCTTAAAACGTGGTATGTTTTGATCATGTTTTATAAACTAAATAGATAAGAAGCATACTTAACTAATTTTTTTATAATATTACACTACAGCTTGTCTTGCTGCTTCTTGCTAACCGAAGACTGACTTAGACAGCTAGCAAGGTGCTATGCGCCGGATGAGGGCTCACTGGAAGTTTGCAGATTTACTTGATTCCCACCTTTCCCCTGTATTCTCTCCTCTTTTTGTAAGTAAATCCGGTATAACTGTTGGGCGGTTGACGTCTGGTGAAATGCCTTTGAACTATTGATCAGCTTTATTTTCTTTCTGCAGGAGTATCTTCAGATGATCAAAAGGATGGACTTAAAAGGTGTCATTTAGTTTCTATTGAAAAGAATTGTCCAATGTTTTACTTTCCTTGGCCATCTTACTAAGTACCACAGCATCTTTTAATGTGGTATGTTTTTATTGTCCCTTATGAACTAAGTATAATAACACCAGTTTTAGCTAACTTGTTTGTTTTTTGCTTTCATGAATTACAGCTTGGCTTTCTGCATAGGGCAAACCTGAAAGCAGACTACGATGATCAGCCAATTGTTAAGCGCTGTCTGAGGTATTACCAGAAGTTTGCGGGATAAAATTAATTCGTACAACCTTCATAGGAAACTTGAGGCTAAACTTAACAGAACTAATTTTAACGCAAATGAGGCAGTCCCAAAATTTTGGTTCTCCTCAAAATACCATGCTGCTATCAGAAGTCTTTTGTTGGACAAAAGGCAGCAGGAAAGAAAGTGTTTGCATTTGAGCAGTACTTTCGAATAATGGCTGTGGTGACTGGCCACTGGCAGAGAGCTGACCAAAAGTTTGCTGCATTATTTGATTTCTTCCTTTCCTCTGAATCCTCTCCTCCTTTTGTAAGTAAATCCGGTATAACTGTTTGGCGGTTGATGTCTGGTGAAATGCCTTTGAACAATTGATCAGTTGTATTTCCTTTTTTGCAGGAGGATCTTCAGATAATCAAAAGGATGGATTTTCATTCTTTTTTATTTAAATGATTTGTCCAATGTTTTACTTGGCAATCTTACTTACTCAGTGCCACAGCATCTTAAAACATGGGATGTTTTTATCATGTGTTATTATCTAAATATATAAAACACAATCTCAACTTACTTATTTTAAATATTAAATTACAGCTTGTTTTGCTGCTTGTGTCTAACCTGAAGACAGACTACGATGACCAGCCAGTTGCTATGCGCTGGATGAGGGTTCACTGAAAGTTTGGGGTATAACTTGACTGCCACCTTTTCTCGGAACACTCTCGTCGATTTGTAAGTACATCTAGAACAACTGTTGGGCAGTAGATGTCTGGTGAAATGTCTTAGAACTTAATGCATTTTTGTCTTGCAGGTTGATTCTTTGATTATGGATTGGATCGTGTTTATAAGTTTGATTCCTTTCCTGAATCCTTTCGTTACTGAGTAAGTTTAGAGTTCCTGATATCATGCTTGAAGTGGCAGGCTGGCTGGCTGGCTGGCTGGCTGCTTGGCTGCTCACAGGCTGGCAGGCTGGCTGGCAGGCTGGCTGGCTGGCTGCTTGGCTGGCAGGCAGGCAGGCAGGGTGGCATGCTCACAGGCTGGCAGGCTGGCTGGCAGGCTGGCAGGCTGGCTGGCAGGCTGGCAGGCTGGCTGGCAGGCAGGCTGGCAGGCTGCCTGGCAGGCAGGCTGGCAGGCTGCCTGGCAGGCAGGCTGGCAGGCAGGCTGGCTGGCAGGCTGGCTGGCAGGCTGGCTGGCAGGCTGGCTGGCAGGCTGGCTGGCAGGCTGGCTGGCAGGCTGGCTGGCTGGCAGGCTGGCAGGCTGGCTGGCAGGCTGGCTGGCTGGCAGGCTGGCTGGCTGGCAGGCTGGCTGGCAGGCTGGCTGGCAGGCTGGCTGGCAGGCTGGCTGGCAGGCTGGCTGGCAGGCTGGCTGGCTGGCAGGCTGGCTGGCTGGCGGCTGGCTGGCAGGCTGGCTGGCAGGCTGGTGGCAGGCTGGCTGGCAGGCTGGCTGGCAGGCTGGCTGGCAGGCTGGCTGGCAGGCTGGCTGGCTGGCAGGCTGGCTGGCAGGCTGGCTGGCTGGCAGGCTGGCTGGCTGGCAGGCTGGCTGGCAGGCTGTGGCAGGCTGGCTGGCAGGCTGGCTGGCAGGCTGGCTGGCAGGCTGGCTGGCAGGCTGGCTGGCAGGCTGGCTGGCAGGCTGGCTGGCAGGCTGGCTGGCAGGCTGGCTGGCAGGCTGGCTGGCAGGCTGGCTGGCAGGCTGGCAGGCTGGCTGGCAGGCTGGCTGGCAGGCTGGCTGGCAGGCTGGCAGGCTGGCTGGCAGGCTGGCTGGCAGGCTGGCTGGCAGGCTGGCTGGCTGGCTGGCAGGCTGGCTGGCTGGCTGGCTGGCAGGCTGGCTGGCAGGCTGGCTGGCAGGCTGGCAGGCTGGCTGGCTGGCTGGCTGGCAGGCTGGCTGGCTGGCTGGCAGGCTGGCTGGCAGGCTGGCTGGCAGGCTGGCTGGCAGGCACACTGATTAAAATTTTTGTTGTGGAGCGAATAGCTTGTCAAACCATAGTCGTACAGGAACTAAAGGATAATTTCACAACGACTAACTTGTAATAACACATCAACAGTCCACTTTCAAAAACAAGTCGTTGACCAACAACAAAAGTTGTAAGTCAACGACAAGTATTGTAAGTCGAAAAAGATTTTGTTATGTCTGCAAAAAGTACTCATGGAGAACTTTTGTCGCTAAATTTATTTTGCATGGTTTTTTATTATAGATAGTAATTTCACTATGACTTGGCGAACAAATTAGATGAATTTTCATAATTCGCTCTAATTGAGCAGATAATTGCAAAAGATGTTGTTTCCACACAAATTGTATCGTTAAGGGTGATAACAAGAATATTGTTCTTCAACGACAAATTGTCGCTGACTTGAGTCAACGACAGTAGTTTCGCTTTGGTTCATGATGAAATTCCATGTTTTGGAACGACTAAATTTTCACTCATCTGATTGTTTCTGTACAACTATTTCTTAACAGTGCAGGCTGGCTGGCAGGCTGGAAGGCAGGGCTAAAGAACACATCTGCACACAGCAAATATTGGAGAGGAAGTGGCATGTTTTATTTTTGCATGATCGCTGGAACACAACATTTTTGATGCATTTTTGGAGTGCAGTGGTGCATGAGTAATTTTAAATAGGCAGTGACTATGATGATTAGCTAATGCCTCTATTTACAAGGTATGAGAAAGAGAAACAGTGGGAAAATGTGAATATGCAAGTGTGGCAGGATTAATCATCAAAACATTATATCTATCTCTTTTGTTTTCTTATTTGTTACTAGAGGATCTGCAAAACGCCCAAGTAGTCAATGGGAGTGTTATCTAGTGGAAATTGAAGAAGGCGAAGAAATCAAGCAAGCAGGTTCGTCTCTTTCAGCATG